GAGAAAAAAATAAAAATAAAAAATTTAATAATAAGAAAAAAGGGATAAATTTAAAAAAAAATCTTTTAATAAGTGTAAAGTGAGGGAAAAAGGTATTTTAAAAGGAACACATAAAAAAAAATAACACTTTAGAAAAGAATAGAAAGAGATTAAAAATCAAAAGAAATGCATCGTAAAAAAAATAACACTTTAGAAAAGAATAAAAAAATATAAAAGATAAAAAAATCATGAAAATGTTTTTTTAGAGAAATTATAAGAAAAGAAAGGCAAAAGTGATACTATGGGTGTGTTTGGAATTCATTCCAAAATAATTTTATTTTCTGTACGTTTTTATTTTTATTTTGGAATCATTTCAAAAAATGCATTTGGTAGTTTTATTTCGATATTGTTTTTAGTTTTAAAAAAAATTAAAATTGTGTTTGGTGGTTTAATTTTTATATTTAAAATAATAATATATTAAATAAACATTATATACATGAAGAAATGGGTTTCAGAGGATAATTTTGGTGTGTTTCGGAGGAATCTGGAATTTTCTGATCCGGAGCCAAAGAGGCTGCGATCGTCGTCGTCGTCTAGGGTCCCGACTCTAGTGAGGTGGAGGAAGGGGCGGCGGCGGAGTCGGATGAGGAGGGGGTGGTTAGGGGCAGTGAGGTCGAGGCGGGAGATGGGAGGGGCAATCGGAGAAGAGTGGTCCAGTCGGGCAAAGAAAATGAAAATGGGAAACTGAAAACGATGCTTAATCGTTTTCAGTTTTGCTGAGTTTTTGGGAATAAGTAAAAAATGTTTTCAGTTTTTGTTTTTAAGGAAATGCATGCCAAACGCATTTCTGAGTGCGTTTTTATTTTTTAATTCTTAAAAAACGTGAAAAATGTTTTTTAGAAATGATTCCAAACATGCACTATGTGTAGAAAAAAGAGAAGCCTTCTTACAATAACACATGTTAAAAGAAAATAAAAGCATTTTTGTTCTTTTATATATGTAAAAATATATAGATTCGTGATTCGTGAAGTCTTGTTTTCTTTTTCTTAGGGCAAAAAAATAAATAATTGATAGTATTTATTTTTAATCGTTATGTATAACGAATTAATTCTTGGTACCTTTTTAATTTAATAAGATTTTAATAGAGAGACTCTAGAGGATAAAATTTTCTCTTCTTTTTTAATTTGTTTGTTTGGAATTTGATACAAGTTTTCATTTTAAATAAAATTAAAAAGATAAATAAAGTAGGGAAATGTAATCTCCAAATTAGGTTTTGAGAATTCACATTTATCCACTCCTTTTAGGTTCAAGTCGCTAAATAGAGAAAAGGTTTTTTTTTTTTTTTTTTAAAGGAAAAGTGAAATATATTAATTGAAAGAAGCCTTTTCAGCATACAATATAAACAACACAATTAGGATTAGAAAACTGCCAACAATCCCACCATGATTGAATCAACCCCTCGATCCCTGAAATGAAGGAATCTACTAAGGCATGAAACAACAAACTAACTAACTAATTCAAATTCAGGACAAAAAATATAATTAATTTAAATTGAAACTAAGCAATTAAACAAATATAGAAATATTTGGGCCATCGTATCAATATTGCATTCATTTCTTTTTTTATTATAAAATATTTCATTCATTTCATTTGCTTATTAGTGCAACATATGCATATACTAACTGAAGATCTTCAGCACTCATTCATTTCATTCATTCATTTCATTGGCCAATTTGTTTTGAAGATGTGACATTTTATTAATTTGGTTTTACATTCCTTTGAATTTGTTTTTCTGGTTTAAAACCTTAAAAGTGAAGATCAATGTCCCTACAGTTATATAAAATACACGAGCAAAGAATTGATTGCTACACGAAAAGGAGAAACTATATATGTTACTGTTGAGATTAGTCAAATCATAAGCATTTTTGTTATCCTTGTCATTTATCGGCCACATGGTTGCTCCTAAAAAATAAATCCACTCATTTTTTCTGGACGTCTTTGTAGATGCGTTACAAATGTTTGTATAAAGGGTAAATTAAAGCACCATTTACTTCGCGGGTTCAAATTGTATGTGTTTGAACTTATACGTTAATCTTTTATAGTTCGAATTGATTTTTAACAGTGCAATGTCTAAATAAGAAATAAATTTTGAATCAGCATTTGGTAGTATTATTAAAACTATGGATTTTTAAAAAATGTGAGTTGGAAATCGTTGGTAGGATCTTTTAGATTGAGTTTTAAATAGTAAAATATGTTAGAACCTTAAAAATTTAAGAGAAATAAAATTGAGTTGAACTTTCAATTTTAAGTTTAAATGCAATTTTAAATACAAATTTAAGTTTAAAATGTTATACAACTAAATACAGATTCGAACCATATTTTGAGTTTAAATGCTTCATAATTGTACATTGAAAATTAAAATTCATGTAATTGAATATTTCTAAAGAAGCAGTCAAAAAATATTTCTTAAAACAAGCATAATTGAAAATTAAAATTCATGTAATTGAATATTTCTAAAGAAGCAGTCAAAAAATATTTCTTAAAACAAGCATAATTGAATATTTAGAGTATGTTTGATATGAGGGTTGGACAGAGGGAGGGAGAGTGGTGGATAGGGAGTAGCAATATATCACTTTTTAAGCTTCAAAATATTATTTTATCATTTAAACAAATTACTAATAAATAATTTAAATGGACAATTTAATAATTTCATAAATAGTTATAATTTATTTTTTCAACTCTCCTTTAATTTTATCAAACAATATAAAAAATTACTATAATCTCATTCACTTCACAAATTTAAATTTTTAATTTGAGTTGAAATGTAATATTTTTTTAGAATTATTAATTATAATAAAAAAATTAAATGTGATATTTTAAAAAAAATTTAATTATAAAAACTTAAAATTTAAAATTTAAAACGATAAAATAAATAGAGCTTGTAATTCTATTTATCCCTCTAACCAAACGGAACTAATAAAAATAAAGAGGCTTATAAAAGTAGTAACGACTTTTCACAAAGGCAAAAAGAGAGAGAGGAAAAAGAAGGCAGCAGAGTAGCTTTGGCCTTTGAGCCTCTATTGAAAAAGAATAATAATAATGAGTGGCGTTGGTGTAATTAGTAGGAAATAGAAGGCGGAATTTGGAAGCCTGATGATAAAGATAAGAATCATCCCCAATCGACCGGCCGTTTCGCAGGCACGTCAGATTACCCGTCCTCACCACAGGCTGTGTTTTAGGTGCCCTTTAAACTGATCGTTCCACGCGCTTCAAACCACTTGGAAATCACCATTTGTCGTTTATGGAAAAAGAATTCTTATCTATTCTCAAAAAAAAAAAAAAAGAATTCTTTAATCATTAAAAAAATATACTTTTTCAGCAAGAAAAAAAAAAAAACAAATACACAGTTGTCGTGTGAAGTTTCGCCAGCACAGGTCTTCCAGACGTGAATGTTGAGGAAGCAGTAGTCTCATTTAGTTTATTAATTTAAATTAAAATATAATTTTATATAAAATTTTTTAATTATAATAAAATTATAATTAAATATTTAAATTAGTAAAATAAATGAGGTTTCAAAAATTTACTTTAAAAAAAATATTTTGCAAGTCATTATAATACCTTCAACTTAGGTTTTTCAAAATAGTTCTAATAAAAATGGGTAATTTTAACAAATATTTTTTAAAAATGTATAGATTAACATTTTTATTTTTTATTTTTAATTCATAAATTTGTTAATCAAATAATCACACTAATAAAATAATATTTATCAAAACAACGAAGAAAAGTTTAGATTGATGCACTCATAAAAGTAAATTTTCTATTTTTTTCAATAAAAAGCTATTTGTCTGTACTATAAATTCATGTAAACAAAATAATTTTTTAGTGTACAACAACAAATCCACACTCCATCCCCTTAGGAAAAAAAAAAAAAAAACAACAACAACAAATCCACAATGTTAAGTATACTAGGAATAATGATAAAAAGAGAAGGAATGTGTTTTTTTAGAGAGTGAGAAGGTTCTTGGAGAGTAGAGGTTGGCCGGAATTCCGGCACTATCTTCGGGCGCGTCGTCTAGCTCTCGACTATGAAATTTAGTTTTTCGGCTCGTTTCGTCGTGGACTTCTTGTTGGTGGTGGTGTATAATGTTGATTGGACGATCTCCTTTTTCAAGAGAGTTTTCCGCTTGGTGGCTGAGATCTCTACGCTGAATATCTTCCTCGATGGTCCTTTAGCCGAATGCCCTTCATCGGAGGTTTCTACTGGCGGTGGTCGGAGGTTTTTTTCCATTTATAACTTTTGTGTGTTGTAACAAGGTTGGTGATTTCTCCACTCGATCCTAGTCTAGTTTGTTGTTTTTTTATTAGATTTAGGTATTCGGTTTAATGTCGATAGAGTGGTCTTGGTCTGGCTAAACTTTTTTCTATGCCGTATAGATGTTTCCCTTTTGTGGGTTTGACAATCTACCCCTCCAACGCTCGACAGTTTATATTGAAAAGATGAGTTTTCTCTAGTCGAGCTTTCAGTCCACTCGTTATTAGTGTACTGATGTGCTTTTCTAATTTTGAGCCTTAAATGTACGTCTGTTTTTCTGATGAGTTAGTATTGTATTAAAACAATTGTTTATCAATTTTTAATGAAATACAATTTTTCTTTTAAAAAAATATACTAAGAATAATGAACTGCCTACGTAAAAATTTTGGACTATTGTTTTTAAGAATAAATTGAATACAAGGGAAAAGTGTACAATCATACATAGCCAAATAACACTGATTTAAGGGAGAAAAAAAGAAAAGAAAGAAACCTTTAAAAAGAAGAAAAGTCAAAAAAGGAAAAAAGAAAAGAAAAAAAGAAGCGGTGTTTCACACAAACCTCATTGGTGCGAGTGATATTTATTGGGAGGTAAGCCACGCTATTATACATTTATACGTGACCTATTAATATTAGATTTTGATTCGGAGAAAAAAAAAGGACACGTATTAGGTTTTAAAGAGTTGGGATTCCCTATAAAAGACATTTTCCTCCTCTTCCATAACTCATTATTTTCCCCTCTTTCTCTCTCTCTAAATCTCTCTCTCTCTCTCTCCTGTGAGGAAAGGATCATCTTTTCCCCCAAACAAGAAAAAAAAAAGAGAAACGTTTCGTTTTCTTTTCTCCCAAAAAAAAAAAAAAACTCTTCAATGGGTGTGGTGGTTCTCAATCCTCAGGATTGCCTTAAACAACCTTTCTCCCACAAAGCCCTAGTCTCTTCTTCCCGTCACATGAAACGCCCTCGAAATCCTAACCCTAACCGGGCCAACCGAGCTCAGCCCAACCGCCGAACAAGACGGATCCCGGCCCAGCCCAACGACACGGCTCCGCGGACCGGAGCGACGAGGATGGTCCAGAAGCCTCCGGCCGACAAGCTCGATATGAGCCACGTGAAGATCCTGAAACGCGGCGAAGAGCTGAACGAAACGACACCAGATCCGCCTTCTCCGAAGGTCGCCGGCAAGGAAACCGGCTTAAATAACAAGGATCTGGCGTCGCCGGTTCGGTTGAGTACAGATCCCGAGTCGAACCGGGTCATGGGGTTCTACGCCGGTTCATCGATGTGTATTGAATCGCCGCCTCCTAGTTCTCTCCCTTTACCAGCTTTTTTTAAGAAGAAAAGTGTTGTGTCGACGAACGTTGAGGCGACTAACTTTCTGCTAAGTGTTTTACGGCTCGATCTGTAGTGAAACTATGTAGATCTGGTTATTTTTATGTCGTATGCTTATTTAGAACTTTATTGTAGGTTTGGGTTTTCTGATTAACGATCTTCCCTTATTTTTTCAAGGGGAATGAGTTCTCTTAGTGAACTCGACCAAGCTTTGGGGTTTTTTTGTTTCCGTCATTTTTTTCCTAGTCTCTGTAAAGAACATAGCTTTAGTTGTTTTTTTTTTGGGTTTGTACTACATAGGTTGGTACTGATTGCGTTTGGTTCCCAGTTGTTCATCTATTTTCTTATATTAGTAAAAAAAAAAGTTGAATTTTATGGTTCTTAATTATTTTATTTTTGTGGAATTTATTGGTTCTAATTGTGTGATTCTAAGGTCAGGGAAAAAAAATTGACTATGGAGTCATTTTAATCTCGTGTTGGGTGAGCAAATCAATAGAGGTGCAGAACTAGAGCCAATTGCCCTTATTCCCACAATTTTTGCTGTCAAAACAAATTTTGCAGTCTGATAGCTCATGCCAAACAGCTTTTATTATCGATTTTATCTCAGAAAATAACCTCCTACCTAATCCAAGAGAACACGCCAAAGTGTTGGGACTTTCATGTAACGAAAGAATGGGTGTTGAAATTTTGTGTTTCATCTGATTTGGTGAAGTGGATCAATCTCCTATACATGGACATTCATACTGGCATTAGAAATAGAAGTAAAAAATAATTAGCATTATTGAATCTTTGATTGCGTTGAGCACATGTCGCACTATTATGGTTTGGTACGCTAAACCCATCTGACTGATGTTTAACCAGCATACGGTTGACATTGAGGTATTTTATTAGTTTTTAGTTTTAAATTTTGAGAGCTAAAAATTTATAGAAAATATTGTTAATTTGAGTTTTTAATTTGAGACGTGATTTTATATACGTAAATTTTTTATTATAGTAAAAAAGTTAAATGTAATTATTTAGTTAAATTTTTTTATAAAATATTATATTTCAGTTAAAATTTGAATTTGTGGAGTGAAATAGGTCTGAATAAACTCTATAATTGGGCACTGAGAAGGGAAGACAAGTTATTATCTCTGTCGTTGAGATTCAGCCTCCCTCTCTCTCACGCCTGTGAAGCGGCATGTTTTTCAGCACTTTACAGGAGTGAATTGGAGCTGCCGCCCCTTGTCCCAGCGACTTACTGTCGACTTGCTCGATTCCTCTGTGTCGCTTCGCGTAACTGAAATCTTGGAGGATTTTATCAAAGTTCAAGTTCAGTTAAACCATCTTGGAGTTTATCAAGTTTAATTGGACTAAAGTTTCATTCATTTTACTGATTCGAGTTTAGAATTTGAATTTTGTAAAAAAAATTATCAGAAACAGTTATATTTAATTTTTTTATTATAATAAAAAACTCTCACATAAAATCACATATCAACTCGAATTAAAAACTTGAATTAGCAAACTAAACAAATTTTAAGAATGTTGATTGCCCTGTCGCGGTAGTATGCGCTATGCTGCGACCCCAAGGGGAAATCAACACTCCCCGCCCACCAAACTACGGATGCATGAACACACCCCATGAAGCAATTGAAGATACATTGGCCAAAAATGACGGGAGGTTGACATTCTCAGTAAGAAATTTTCAGTTAAATAACTTAAAATTAGACACCCTTAAACTTTTAAACTGAGGAGCAATGTGTTCAATGATAATATACGTATGTGGTCCTTAGTGTTGAATAAAAATATGGAAACATAAAAGACCAACTAAATTATCTTGCTTTAGTGATATTCGTCTCCTTTGAAAAGAGTTTGCTAACGAGATTTCTCACAAATTACCTCCATGAATAAGCAAACTCAGGAATCCTTTAAGCTGATAACAAATTTTGGGTTAAATGGGCCTTAATTGTAGCACATTTAGTGTTTGTTCCGTTAGGTGTGCAGCTAATCAGAAAACGTGGTCATGGAATGCAACTTGGAAGATTTTGTGCTGCAAGTTATATTTAAAATAGGTTTAGAGAATCAGTGAAGATTTGAATTGGATTTTGAAAGCCCAAGATTTGGATCCAAATCCACTTTGGGTTATCCTATTTGCCTCGAAGCAATATTCTGTTGGGATTGAGTGCGAAATAAAACTCTCAAATGAGCTTTCTTAATTTTACGCATAATATTTTGAGAAGTTCTAATTAACACTTTTTAGGAAATGAATTTGTAGTTTTCAGAAAAAGACGTGTTGAAAGAAGTTTAACCGTTTATTATTTTTCAGAAGAAGAATTTAAAGCTTTTAGGAGAGAGTGAGTACTTGTTGTACACAAAGTTTGTCTTTGTTGCATATTTTTCTGTATAGATCACTAATCTTCCTTTAAGATTTCTAATCTGAAAATTTTGACTTATCTATTTTAGCACCTATTTAGAGAATCCCTGCTAAAGCTTGTGGAACAGTTACAAGTTTCCATTATTTTTGGGATTCAAAACTTGTTTTCTTAAGCCTTGTTTGCTCAACTCTAGCAGGAGATAAATAAACATTACCATGATATATCTATTAATGGCAATGGTAATAACTTTTATCCCCATTTCTTGATTCAGTTTGAACGCACAGGGGCTTTATATAGTGTTTTAGTTTAATCTCTCTCTTAACCTCAGCTGCTGACTTGGCTGTTCGGTAGTGGTGTTTTCTTATTGTATCTTAGGGCATGTTCTTTTGTCCATAAAACTCAAAAAAAGATTCTTTTGTCCATAAAACTCAAAAAAAGACAACTCAAGTTTCAACTTTATTTAAGTTTACGTTCTTTTAAGTTTTAACTTTATTCAATTTTACTCAACTTTATTTAAGTTCTAACTTCAACTCAAGTTATAACTCAAATTCAACTCAAAAATTACACTCAAATTACACTCTAAAAAAGAACAACCCCTTAAACTCTCAAATATGGAATCGTTGAGCTTTTCCGATTCATTCTGGCCATGCATTTATTTTATGTTTTAGTCTACAATGCATTATTATTGCCTTATTATTGGACTTAAGAGAGCCCACTTATATTTTTAGGGAGAATCATAAAGTCTCTGTGTTTTCAAGCTAGGTTAATTGCTCAACAGTACTTCAGACTGTTGCAAGGTTTGTTTTCTAATGCAATAAATAGGAATATAGGTAATTCACCCCCCCAAAAAAAAAACCTTAAAAAGTACTCTCCTTGACAAGAAAAAAAGAAAAGAAAACATCATTATTTATTAGGACTTTACATTTATTTTAAAAGAGTTTCTCTTATATGATCATAAAAAATAAACTGCAGATAGTTCTTTACTTTTAGAAAATCTGTATGGGTGCGTTTGGTGGATAGATTCAGAATCATAATTCTGGATCCTGGTTTAGAATCAGTGTTTGTTTACAGTGATTCTGAATCATGATTCAAAATCAGTGTTTGGTTTGGATGATTCTGAATCTGATGTGATGTTTTAAACTAGCTCAAATCATGATTCTAAAACCACCATCTTCTTGATTCAAGGTGATTCAAATCTCTGATTCTGAATCATGGTTTCATAATCATGATTTGAACTTAAAATTATGAATCATGATTATAATCACCCTGATTTAAATCATCGTACTAAATAAACCCTATGTTTTGTGTCAAAAATTATATATTCTGCATATTTTTTTAATTTAATATAATTTTAATTAATTGAGAGGGCAAAAAGTGACTCAGCCTGTAGGGAAGCCCTACCAAGAAAGTCTATTTACTTTAGATCAGTATAAACATCTGCCAAATTTAGTTTGCCAATTATTTATAACTAGCTCTTAGGCAGAACTGCTTTATTTCTGGTCCAGTTTATAATTGGGCCTATTAAATTGGATGGATTGATGAAGAAGAGTACACTCTCCTCAACAACTTTCCTTGTGGGCTGTGGCTCAATGTCTGAAATTCTGATTGGATGGAAAATTGGCAAAATCAATTAAATGCTATATTTAAGAGGGTGACTTTTGTTTATTTATTTATTTTTTCCCTTCTTCCAGGAGAGCAAGTAAGTCTTTAAGGTTAAGCATTAGGTAGAACATTTCTTTGGGGATCACCTACTACATTTTAAGACAATGAATTGCTTTCACCTACTAGAGTTATGATACTCTTTGCAATCTAGTTCATTCCAGGATAGGATATTTTTACCGGAATTATGTGTGTTATAAAATGCATTAAAATCATATTAAATTGAAAATTATATAAAAATTTAGACGAAGTCGTAAGCTCGGCACTCATACAATCTGACAAATGTAGTTTTCTCTTTCATATTCTCGTGTAACAAAGTTCATACGAGTGTTATAACATTCAGTTATTTAAGTGTAACACTCGTACATGAGTTCGACTAATTTTTTTGAATGTTACACTTAAACAAATTGAATGTTACACATACGAACGAACGATGATATATGTAAATACAAAAAAAAAAAAAAAATTACATTTGCCTAACTAGTCCGTATGTGACTATTCTTAAAACTTTAATGAACATTAATAAAGTAATGTTTATCATATAACTTTTAATTTATATTCTTATCAAATAACTGTAAATAAATAAAAAGGGAGAAAAAGAGACAAATTAATTCATCTTTTGTGTTGGCTATTATGCTGGAAATATCCCAAGGGTAGATCCTTGGGTAGCTACATGTCTCCATTTGGGTTTTTTTCTTCTAAATACCCTCCCAAGCCAGAAGAGAAAATTACTGAACTTATTTTTAAAGTGCATTGATTATGAGATTTTTTAGTCCGCCTAGGGTATTAGAAGGTTACGTTTTTTTAACCGTTAAATCTGTGTACTTTTTGACTTTTACGTAATTTTGTACAGATTTAACGGATAAAAAATCTGACTACCGATATGTTAGTGTATCGAAAAAGATCTATTTTTTTAATCTTTTCCTTATTTTATACTTTCTTTCTTTTTCGTTTTTCCCTCCTAATCTTTTTCCCACTCCTATTTCTTGGTGATTCATAAACCCCATAAATCACTATTCTTCACGTGCTTGAATCATATATGCTGATCGAAATGTGAGCGATGGGTTGTTTCAAAATTATGGATATGTATTTTTGTTGGAACAATATTATAGATGAATGTTATATAAATTGGGGAAATTTCATAATTTATCTGTTTTGGAGCGAATATTAGGCCGCTGTTAAATCCTAAATTCCT